ATCTTGTTCCTCTGCTGAGTTCTTAAAAGCCCTGAACAGCAGGATGGGGAGAGAGTTCAGTCAGCAAACTGAGGACTCAAGTGACCCCCAGATGCACGTAAAAAGTCAGGCTTGGTGGCACACACTTGTAACCCCAGTGCTGGGGAGGTAGAGGCAGGACAGTTCCCAGGGTTTGGTGGCCTGCCTGCCTATCTTTATTGGTGAGTTCCAGGTCCTTATGGAAGACTGTCTCAAGAGCGAGATAGACAGCTCCCGAGAAACACCACCCGAGGATGACCCCTGGCCTCCACACACATGTGCACAGACAGGCACACGCATGGACACACGAATCTTGGAGTGAACGGTTCAGGGGAAGGACTTACTGCAAGTGTGATTCACAACGCACTGGCACACCATTGGAGATTTACTCTCCGTGGCGACTCAGCAAAGCTCTGGACTTCAGTCACCCCTGCAGGCAGGGAGGCCGGCCTGAAAAGAAGGGAATCCATGCGTTCTAGTGGGAGGAGCCAGGCCCCTTGGACTCTTGTCAGCTTGGCATCCTGGATGGTAGCAGGTAATTTGAGTATGGCTTTCAGGCTACCTTTACCTTTTTGTGATTTCTGGTAGGAGTTCAAATTGCAATTCCTTTCCGCGTGGCGGTTTGGTAACGTATCAGAATCCTTAACTGTGGTGGTTGGGGCGCGAGGACCCCGGGGGACGCTGGCTTCGTGGCTGTCCCGGGCTTCTCTGACCTCAGCTCCAGCTCGGGGGAGTATGGGAGGATCCAGAGTTGGCCAGGAGCTGCAGGAGGTGTTGGATCAGCGAAAATGTTTGTACAAAGAAAAAGTCTACTGAAAATAGAAAAAAGATATTAGCCGCTAGGGCCGAAGTGCAAGCGGTGTCGCCAAGTACGAAGTTTAGCGGAACAGCAAAGGACGGTTTTGGGAGGTTCATGACTAAACTGTGAAGAAGAGCTAAAGAGTTGGAGGGCACGGTTTCTGACTGGACACGTGACCCTTGGTGGCTAGTTCCCGACGGCTGTTCTGTGGGATCCAGCACCTCTTGCAAACCAGCCTCAGAGGCCGAAGATAATCCATCAGCCTCCCAGAGGACGGGAGACTTCAGGGATAGGGCTTGAAGGGAGCAAGCTCCCAGCTTCCAGCGGCAGAGTCAGTTGGTGTGAGGAAAACGATCAGGGGCAAAGAGGAGCATGTCACGAAACAACTGTAGTCTATTAACCAAAAAGACCTAATAGTCATTAATATGATCAAGCTGCACAGCAGGGAGTCAAAATATCTGAGAGGACAGAAAATCCATTTAACCCAAACACGGAAAGGATGAGTCCATTAGAGCTGGATAGATATGCTAGTGCCGCCTAACAGTGATTGACTGATCAAGCAGAAAATGCACAAGGCCAACTGCAACCCAGCCGACATCATTACTCATCGGGATCTGCTGACATTTGCAGAGCCACCCGTCAAGTGCGGGGGAACATTATTCTCAAACTCAGAACCTCACTGAAGTCACATTTTAGACCGAAAAACACCCTTTAGCAAGTTGAAAAACAAAAGTCCTACAAAATAGGCCTCAGCGCCTGGCGTGGTGGTGTATACCTCTCATCCCAGCACTCAGGAGGCAGAGACACAGGAACTGTGAGCTGGAAGCCAGCTTGGGCTGTTAGCAAGACCCCGTCTGAAAGCAGACAGACATATCCTCTCAGATATAAGTGAATTAAACCAGGAACAACAGAAACAGAGCCGGGAAACCTCCAAATAGTTGACAATCACATACCACACTTCTAAGCTGGTGGTACACGCCTTTGGACGCAGCTACTTGCAAGCTTAGAGACAGGAAGATTTGTTTGAGTCCACAAAGTCCAAGATTATCTTAGGCTTCCCACTGCAAAAAACACAAAGAAACAACACAAAAAATCCCAATATATTTCTAAATAGCACATTGGGTCAAAGAAGTCTCAAGAGAAAACTGAATGATGTGGCATTGAATTCTAATCTTTTTTTTTTTTTTTTTTTTTAAAGAGCCCTGGCAAAGTTTTATTAAAGGAAAACTTCTTGGTTTACTTTTTACTTTTTACTTCTGGTTTTAAATAAAACTTTGTTCTGGCATGCTTCTGATAACATCAGCATCACCTGGGTCAATGCTAGCCAGTGTGCATACTCTTAGTATTTCCCACATGCTGTGCCCAACTCAATATTATTGCCATTGTAGTGATGGCCATCAGTTCTGGCCAACACGGCATAGTGTTCTAGTCCAGATTTCCTCAAAGCTGGGCAATTGTTGGCAAGGATAGTCAACTTCGCTTTGCCCTGTCTGTTCATCTTCAAAGTCTGTTTCTATCCCAGCGCATACTTTCCATTTTTTCATAACAAGTTGGAGTCTAGAGTTGATCGTCTCCTGGGACATTTTCCGTTGTCTTTGCGGCCACCATCTTCCTGCCTTAGGTGCGGGACAGCCCCTAACCAAGACCAGCCACCAAGATGGCCGGGGATGAGAAAGGGTCTAATTGGTCTTGATAATAAAAACCCAGAGTCAGATATCAGGGTGAAAGCTGAGAGATCAGCAAAGCAGAGCAGCCAGCCACTAGAGTTCTTGTCTCTACTGAGAATCCTCAGCCTGAAAGAGCCCAAGCTCCTGTCTCCACCCTGCCTTATCATTTCCTCTCTCTGCCCCGCCATATGCACTTCCTGTTTCCTCCTCCCAAGGTGCTGGGATTAAAGGTGGTGTGTCACCACTGCCTGGCCTCTTCTGTACTCTGATCTTAAAGCAAGATTTATTTGTTAAAGCACAAACAATATTACCACAGAATATTTTAAACTGAATGAAAATACAGTTTATTGCAATTTGTTTGGTACACCAAAAACAGAGGTAGGGAGGGATCTGCACCACTGAACAGCACATGCAAGAAAACAGAAGCCTGGCCATACAGGGGCCTGCAGTCCCAGCATGCACTTGGGGAGGGGGGAGGAGTATAGGAGAGAAGGCTAAGGATGTAAGCCTTGCTTAGTATGCCCAGAGCCACCAGGGGTTTGATCCCCACTGTGACACTAACTGGGACACGGTGGCACAGGCCTGTTATCTCAGCACTCATCTACATAGCATGTTTGAGACCCGCCAGGGCTCCATAAAATCCTGTCTGCAAACGAACAAAAACAACCAAACCAACCGATCAGAATGTAAGCCCAAAGCCAGCAAAAGAAAAAAAAAAGCGAAAATCGATGACACAGGAAACAGGAAAGTGATAGAGAAATTCGGGCTCTCTGAAAAGATAAAGCAGCCCTCTCTCCTGGTTAACCAAGAAAAAAAAAGATGCAAGTCATTAATACCAGAAAGGGAAGAGAGTTCATCAGTCCTGACCACAGCAGAATGACACAGGATGTTTTCCTTAGTGTGGTGTGTGTGTGTATGTGGTTACATGTGTACCATGGCCTGCATATGTAGGAACCAATTCTTTCCTTCTACCATATGGGTCCTGGGGATCAAACTCAGGTCACCAGGTGCTGAGATATATATGAGGAATGTCACAAACAGTTCTACACTTTCAGCCTCAGGTAGAGGAAAGGGGCCTTGGCTGGCTCTGCCTCCCGAGTGCTGGGGATTAAAGGCGTGCGCCACCACCGCCCGGCTCATAATCCTAACTTCTAATTTGTGTGTTGGTGTATTTATGTGGAAGTGTGAGTAGAAACTCGAAAGGGGCCCATGAAAGGAGAACAAAGGCTTTAAAGGGGGAGTGAGAAGGGTAATAGGATACATGTGGTATGCAAGTAAAGGTGGGAATGCAAGGGATGGAAGAAGAAGAGGAGGAAAACGCCAGTGCTGGGGGCGGGCTGCAGCTCAGTGGAAGGATGTTTACCACACCAGTCCTTGTGTTTCAACGTCAAGCACCAAATGAATAATGGAGGGAGCACGCCAATGCAGTGAAGGAGAGCCGAGAACTTTGGAGCTCTCCTTCACAATGGAGGGGGTGGAGAACTTTGGAGCTGTCCTTCACAATGGAGGGGGGTGGAGAACTTTGGAGCTGTCCTTCACAATGGAGGGGGATGGAGAACTTTGGAGCTGTCCTTCACAATGGAGGGGGTGGAGAACTTTGGAGCTGTCCTTCACAATGGAGGGGGACGGAGAACTTCGGAGAATTTCTCCTTATTGCTCAGTTTTGCTGTAAACCTAAAGCTGTCCTCTCCAAATGCAATTTATTAGTTTTTTTTAAAAAATGGGGGTAAGGCCTGGAGAGACGGCTCAACTGTTAGGAGCACTTACTGCTCTTGCAGAGGAACTGGGTTTGGTTCCCAGCATCTACATGGTGTCCACAACCATCTATAATTCCAATCCCAGGGATCTGCCGCCACAACATGCATGTGGTACACATACATGCATGCAGGCAAACGCTTGCACACTTAAATCTTTAAAAATTTTAAATAGGGTTGACTCATTAACATAAAATGAAAAACCTCTAGAAAGTCTCTAGGCAAAAAAGCCACATGGTGAGTCAGGCATGGTGTCGTAGCGGGTGAGAGGCAGATGCAGGAGGATCAATAGTTAAGGCTAGCCTCAGCCGCAGGGTGGGTTCCAGGTAGCTTCAGCTACATGAGACCGTGGTGGTGTGGGGAGCCTCACGGTCAGGTGGAGGTTTTAGATAAAGTTGTCTAGTGGCTGCACGGAGCAGGCAGAGTCAGGGAAGTGTACAAAGCCTGGCATCAGAGAGCAATGCAGGGCCCAAGCAGAGAGATGCTGGCAGCCTGAAGGAGAGGAGGAGGAGGAGGGGGGAGGAGATGGAGGAGGAAAGGTTGAAAGACCCTCAAGTAGGTAAGTAGGTAAGATGGGAAATTTGTGGCCTGATGACCCTCAGTTTTCCAGCGTTAGTGTCTGGAAGGACACTGTGTGCTGGGGTGATGACCCTCAGTTTTTCCAGCGTTAGTGTCTGGGAGGACACTGTGTGCTGGGGTGATGAACCTCAGTTTTCCAGCGTTAGTGTCTGGGGAGGACACTGTGTGCTGGGGGTGACATGTATCACTGCACTGCACCCAGTGTAGGCTGCTCTTGAGGTAGATGCCTCCCCGTCCTCAGCTGTCTGTGCATTTGGTCACAGCAACGGTCAGTGGAACTTGACCTGGATCCTACCTGGAAGAAATCACAGGCTGTGATAAGGTAAAGTAAGGGAATGGTTTAGGGTTACTTATTTTCTTTGAATAGTTCTGCTTAAAAGAAATTCACTCTATAATCAATGGGCTTCATCAAACTATGTTTTCTGCCCTGGGACCCACATGGTAGGAGAACCAATTCCCACAAGCTGCCCTCCGAACTCCACTCACGAATGTTTCCTCCCCAAATATAGTTTAAAAAAATAGCCAAAAAAATTAATAATAAATAGCCAGATGTGGAGGGGCACACCTTTAATCCCAGCACCTGGGAGGCAAAGGCAGGCAGATTTCTGTGTGTCCAAGGCCAGCCTGGTCTACATACAGAGTCCCAGGCCAGCCAGGGCTTCACAATGAGACCCTATCTCAAAATAATTAAGATATTCTTGCAACACAAATTTCTATTTTAAAGCTCATCTACCAGTTGTGGCATTAATATTTGACAATACACTTAATTGGAAATCAAGGTCCAAAGGTCAGAAACTTATATCCCCCCCCCCCCCCCCCCCCAAGAGAACAAAAGGAGCCACCTGAGGTTGGCAGCAGCAGTTTAGGTGAACACACAGGAGAGAGAGGAAGATTGAGCCGAGGTGTCAAAGTGAAGCAGAGTTACCGGACATTTGCTGCGCTGGTAGAGGTCGACACAGTGTAGTGGGCATCCCGAATACCTGCGCATGTGCCCTGAGACACCAGAGTCCTCAGCCGCAGACACAGGAGCAGAGAGCCAGGTGAGAAGGCCATCTGTCATCCCAGGTTTAGAAGTTCCATGTGGTTCATGGTTGGGCAATACTGGGTGGCTGTGTGTGTGTGTATAATTATGTGTGTGGTGTATATGATGTGTGTGTGTCCCACCCTCTGGTCCACACCTCCCCAGTCCTGGTCACCTCCTGTTGGCTTACCATAAACTTAAAGGTCTGGTTTCCATCAGGGGTTGAAATGTGTAGTTTCTTTCCATCTGTTAGCTTGTGGGGTGGGGGGAGATGTACCATGCAGGACTGGCTGCTTCTGGAAGGCACGCCTCTCTTAGGGAGGTCGCCACCTGTGCTGACGCATGCGCAGCCCAGACCCTCGATGGCTCTGCCTCCTGTTTCCTGGGACCTCCTGTTTCCTGTGGTCCCAGGTAGGCGCTTCGCAACAACACATTCCTCACTCTGCATGCGCACCGCCCTGCACGGAGGCAACCCAACGTGCTAACATCGGTGATGGATTGCGTAGGGATAATTTTATCCGCAAACAGAAGGCTGCCCAGCAGTGGCTCTCATACCTCAAAACCAAGTTCACACCTCCATAATCCCCACAGACATAGTCACTGCGCAGAGTGGTCACCAAGAAGGGACCCCTGAGCCTCTCTGCCTGCCTTAGTGGTCTTTGTTCTTACACTTGTCATCTCAGGGACGGCGACAGCTGCTGCACCTCGGGAGGATGGGGCAGAGGACAGGAGGGAGGGTACGGGAGCAAAAGTTCTTGAGCAGAGGCTTTTGGAGTGGCTTTCACCTACATCTCTTTGGCCATCTCCACTTACCTACAAGGGGACAAAGGGACAGATAGTTCAAGTTACCAAGGAGCCTGGAAAGGGAGTGGGGATGGGCACCTTAAAAAAGCATGGAGGTTAAAACGTGAGCACGTGCTTAGCCTACATGAGCAAGACCGTGGGTTCAGGAGAAAGAGGGGCGGGGGGGGGGGGGGTATGGGAGTGTGGGGAGTGGGAGTGTGGGGGGGCGCGAGGAAGCCACACATAGGGTCCCATTTGTTTTTTATTCATTTTACATACAGGGTCCCATTTTAAAGTGGGTTTTTTCTGGTCTGTTTTTTGACAGCCTAACAAGGAAAATGATACCTGTAGACAAAATTTCACTTAAGTAGGTGAATTAAGATACAGCTGTAGCCACGAGTTATTTTTAAGCCAGTTCCCGGCATGATGATAAGAATTTCTAACGGAGGGCAAGCAACAGGGTCAAGAATAATTTCACCTACCGTTTCCTTTTTTGGATAGGGTCATGCTGTGTAGTCCCGGCTAGACTAAAACTGGCAATCCTTCTGCCTCACCCTCCTAAATTCTGGGATTAACAGGTGCGCATGCTTGGCTCTTGCTACATTTTTGTCCCGATCGGTCTATTACGTAAGTTGGGAGTTGGCATTGAAATCGGGGTTTGTGTGGAGCCCTTTTCACTGGAGTGTTTTGTCTCCATCTGGTGGACAATGCTGGCTTTGCAAGTCAGCAGCGCTCTGCCCCAGAGCAGGTCAATCATTAAGGGCGACAACAGGATCCAAGATCAACATCTAAGAAACAACAACAAAAAAAAGGCAGGCACGGGTGGCACACGCCTTCGATCCCAGCACTTGGGAGGGAGGCAGAGACAGGCAAATCTCTGCGAGTTCGAGGCCAGCCTAGTGTAAACAGTGAGACCTTGTCTCAAAAAAAAAAAAAAAAAAAAAGAGAAAAAAGAAAAGCGGCAAGATGGCCCAGCCAGTAATGTGCTTGCTGTCAAGCCCAAGGCCCTGGGTTCGTTCCCCGGGACCCACATGGTGGGTTATCTCTGACCTCCACATTGGTGGTGTAGCCCCTCATACACATAATTTTAAAAAAAAAAAATTTTTTTTTAAGCTATGGGGGCTTGCTGGCCAGACAGCATGACCTAACCTGGGAACCCCAGGACAATAAAGGATGAGGAATGACACTGGAAGACCTCTGACAGACACACGTGCACTCACGTGAACACACCCCATTTCTTTAAAATATTAAAAATAGTTAACATTTCATAATTGACCGCAGAGGTCCCAAGAGATGAACAACAAAGACAGATGAATTCCCTATCGGTACAGATGCCAGAGTCGCCCCCCAGCCTCCGTGAAGCAGTGTGTCCATGTCCACATGCGCCACAAAACTATAGGGTAGGCTCCTGGAGGTTTTGTTTTGCTTTCTTAAACATAGCCATCACTACCCTTGGCTCTCATGACTCATATCCCAGTTGCCGGGATGACAAGCATGCGCAGGCCAGACCCAGTTGGGGACCAACTCCAGGATTTGTGTTTCTCACCTCAAATGTGTACCAACATCTCAAGACACATCCATGTGAACTTTAGAAAAACTGATGATGCTCGTCTTTGTGTATGCCAACCATTAAAGAACCCTAAATAAACAAACCCTCAACTCCTCTTTTAGAATATACTTCTTGGCCACATGGTAGCACAGGCCTGTAACCTGAGCACTCAGAAGGTGGAGGTAGGAGGTCAAGGGATTGAGACCAGCCTGAATTCCAGGTCAGCCCTCATAGAAAAGTATCTCAGTTTGGCCACACCTCCACCCTCTTAGAAACAGGATCTCAATGTATAGTCCTGGCTAGTTTGGAATTCACTACATAGACCAGGCTGGCCTCAAACTCAGAGATCTGCCTGCCTCTACCTCTGCTGGGCACAAGCCACCACACCAATTCCATTTGCCTTTATTATTTTTGAGGACAGGGTCTTGCTGTGAGGTCTAAGAATAAAATCTCCACACTCCCCTTGTTTGAAGGCTTCTCGTAATGGTCCATGCTCTCCCTGCCCGAGTCATGACCTGGTTGTGAACTCGCTGCATCTGGTTACAATTTTAGTATGTAAGTTTCCACGTTCTTAGAACTTTACCCTTAGAGTCTTCAGACTTTGAGTTACCGAAACATGGAAATCCCGTTGTCCATATACGCACAGTTGGTTTGTTAATGTTGCCTTGTCTTTACCATCTTTTCTTATCCCGTTATCTTGTTAATAGAACTCCCAAGATTCCTAATGGTTTTCTGTGTTTGTGACCGTGTTGCCCTATGAACAGTTTGGACATTTTCCCCAGTGCTGATGCCTTGCTGCACTGCCCAGGGCCCTCAGACACAAGTCTGACTGGAGGTGTGCAGTCGGAAAATTTTCCTGTGTCTCGGCCTGCTGGCCGTTGGGACAAATCTCTCCCACTCTCATCCCCCAAGTAAACACACAGAGGCTTATATTAATTATAACTGCACGGCCATGACTCAAGCCTTTAGCTAGCTAGCTCTTATATCTTAAATTAGCCCACAACTATTAATCTATGTATCGCCACGTGTTCCGTGGCTTTACCTGCGTCCCATTACATGTTGCTCCTTCAGCGGCTTGCTGGCATTTTTCCCTGCCTTCTTCCTATCTCTCTCTCTGAATTTCCTGCCTGCCTCTAAGCTGCCTTGCCATAGGCCAAATGCTTTATTATCAATCAATCAGAGCAACCTATTTTCACAGCATCCAGAAAGACATTCCCTTATCAGGGGTGTTCTCATAGGGCCTTAGGAGAAGTGTCTGAACTCCTTCATTAAATGCTGGCTGTATCTTTTTCCTATGGTCCCCTAGTGGGGCGAAGGTGGGTTCTTCGCTTGCTGACACTTTCGTCATAAGCTCCCTAAAATGCTCCTATTAATCTACTGGAATGATCACAAGCTGTTTGACTCTCCATTTTGTTACTATGATAAATAATACTAACTGAACAGAGAAGGGTTCCCTTCTGTATCTCCTAGAATATTCATGTAAACTGGTACAGTTTCCTGCTCTAGTTGAGTGTGTCCACTGGGAAGAAGAGTTTTAACTATGAACTCACCCTTTGATACAGATAATCAAACCTTCAATTTCTTTTCATCTGTCTGGGTGACTTGGTTTTGTGTCAACCACACTGCTCAACAAGAGTTTGGTCTCCAACACCGAGCTCCTATCTTAGAGAAGTTTTCGATTTGTAAGAGTTTGAAACTGAGCTGCTTTAGCAAACAAGATACCTACATATGCACATATATGTGTACGGACACAAACATACACGAATCCACTGTTTTCTGCAACAGAATGGTAGAAGCAAGAGATCCTGTCAGATCTGAACACTGAGGGGAGGCTGAGGGTGGGCACCATCCCACACAAACTATAAAATCATCCAGCACACAGAGGTTGGATTCAGGAGATTTATTGTAAACAGGACAACCCTAGGACCCCACCATCCTGGCAGTGTCACATGCTCTTACACATCAACTGATTAAAAAGACTCTTCGAGCCGGGCGGGTGGTGGCGCACGCCTTTAATCCCAGCACTCGGGAGGCAGAGCCAGGCGGATCTCTGTGAGTTCGAGGCCAGCCTGGTCTCCAAAGCGAGTTCCAGGAAAGGCGCAAAGCTACACAGAGAAACCCTGTCTCGAAAAACCAAAAAAAAAAAAAAAAAAAAAAAAAAAAAAAAAAAAAAAAAGACTCTTCGAAGTCTCTGGTAACATGACTTTTTCACAAATCTCACTTGCTAAACGTGAGTACATGGCAGTCTCTGGGCAGTCTGTTCTAGTTCATGGACCACAACCTGGACCTGCTGCGATGAACCTGTCAGGATGCCAAGTGAAACACAGGAGCTCTGAAGCACACTCAACACCACGTGCAGGTTCATGGAGGATGACATGGGATTGTTTTTCCAATCGCTTCAAGGGCCTTTTCTCATATCAAAGACATGCTTTTAACTGTACCCATCTTTTAAAAAAGAGCTAAGTTACTCGACGGCATGTAATCATTTACAGAAAAGGTAAGCAGACTGTTATTTGCTTTTACAATGATGGATTCAAACACTCAGGACTAGTGTTGGATTTGTCTTGTATATATTTTGCAGTTCGATGAAAAGCTGCATAGTCAAGTTGGGCAGGGTGGCGCACGCCTAATCCCGGCCCTTGAGAGGTGGAGGCAGGAGGATCAGGAGTTCAAAGTCAGCCTTGGCTACTTGGCCAATTGCTCAGACGAGAAGGAAATGGTGACTCAGACCTTCTGATGGGACGGACAAGGACAGGATTTTCACCGGGAGGCTCTTAAAACACATGGATAAAAGACGTCGCAGCACCACGGGGAGAGCAGCCTCCACGGCCGCCCAAGTTCACAAGTTATTTGGAAAATGGCAAATATTGAAAACTTAAGCTGTGAAAAGCCAAGACTCCTAGAGCAGAAAATCCTGGCAAAATCAAGTCATATGGGGCAGTAAAACATCACTTGGAAACACCATTCTGTACCTTGTTTGAGTCAGCGGACAAACAGGAGCACTTTCTATCACTATTGCCGGGTGTGTGGAAACAGCCACGCTTGCTCTTGAAGCAAGTCTTAATAATAGCAAAATATTTTAAAACAGCTGTTAAATCTACAGTAACATTTTCACCTAAAATAGTATCTTGTGAAAAAAATATTTTTTAAAAGTCCACTCCAGTCATCATCTGTATGTTTATATTCATATATTCAAAAAAATAACACTTAAGGCAAGATGAGACCGGAAGCAGCGAGGGCATTTAGAGTCTGAAGGAGACTGGCTATTTAAGAACGTAACCGTTTTGTATCTCCAAAGAGGTGGCTTTGTATTTGCTGCCTTTTGAGACCCTAAGGGGCAAATGATTTAGTTCACACACTGATCGCAATTTCACCCTAGCAATTACAGGGAGTTACAAGAGCTGATGTTAGCCCAGCACGTCTCACACGCTATACAGCAGCAAGCATCTGCTGACGGAACACCACAAACCAACTACAGAAAAAACAGAAATGTCAACAGAATTCAATGAGAGAGAACCCACAGGAATCCTGAGAAATTCCCAACGTGATGTAAGGTTAATCTGGGTTTCTAGCACTGTAAATTGGGGTGTTCTAGGGCTTTCCAGCATTTGGCTAAGAAGATTAAAAAACATACCCAAATTTATAAAAACATTAAAACCATGCCTTAGATAATCAGCACGTTCACTAATAAAAGAAAATGACATTGCTTTGTGCGTTATCTGCCAAATGTAATGTTTTCGGTTGATTTATAGGAAACTATCAAATAGAAAGCAGACTTGAGGATCGGTTCTTTAAAAGGTAACCCTTTCTAAATGTTTTTGAAACCTTTTAGAAAAAAAACTTATTATCTTCGGACAAATGACTATTTCACAGAATAAGGAAGAAGGATTCTATTGGGGTAGCTTTCTTCAGATTAAACAGTTAATATAAGGGAATTTCTCTGAGGACTAAAAAGGAAAAAAATTAGGATATTTAAGAGGCATGTGTTTTAAAAATATTCTACATCTATAAGATTTTATAATTTTATTACTTTGGGTTTTTA